GTATGGTGCCGGTTTGCATGATCAGGTGGGAACAGGTACCATAGAGAACAACTGATTTTTTTTAAGTTTAAGTGTTTTTGGAGTTTCAAGCTACAAATCAAGTGTGAACGCAACCTAAGATGGAATGCTTCATTCACATACACAACCTCAGCTAGCAGACTATGTGTGAAGTTCAGACACATGATGAAACATATCTAAAAAGCCCCGCCCCTTTCTGAATGATCTCATCCGTCATATGATGACTGAACAAGGTGCTCAAACCAGACTGCCAGGCCTGACAGCGAGGTGTGACTTGACCTATGGCCGTTTCAAGGATTAAGGTGGATTAGTGATCAATAGAGGAAACTGTAGATTTTGCTGGATAGAGGGCATTAAATCAGGTTTTGTTCCTCTTTATATGAATAAAAAAAAAAAAACCAAAAACAAAAAAAAAAAACACACACTAAGAAAAAAAGAAATACCAGGACAAGAAGGACTTCCATTTGGCTGCTCTTGGAACTCACAGGCATACCAACCTGAACAGCAATGGGTCTCAAAGATCCACAAACTCAATTTGTTCTCAGCCATGAACAACGGTCCCAGGCTTCGGGCACTTCTGCTCACTTGACCCTCTCTAGACTACAGAATGCAATAAAAGTTACTTTTCATCTGGATTTTCATAAAATTTGTATTCTGGGAAAAGCAATTTTGTTACCTTGATGATGCTCCTGTGCTCTGAACATCCACAAACCATTATTTGCCCAGATCCAGCTAACCACCCTCGACGATACAGAATGAAGACAGCATGAAAATGTAACCTCTGCAGGGATGGCACTTTTGTCTCATCTATTAAGCAGGGTTTGAATACATCTACAGACACGTAGAAATCCACTTAACAAAAGGCGGCTATAGCATTGCCCATTCTGTGCAAAGTGACAGTTCCCATATACAACGCCCCTCTGATACTCACCCCACAATCGCTCCCCACTGCCCTATCCGTTGCCTCATTGAGTGAAATATCTGGTAGAGCTGGGAATGGGGAGCATTGTAGCAACCCATCTCTAGGCCCAAGCAGAATCACATGACAAAGGGAAGGACACTACTGCTCCCCCCCCCAGATTATCTGAATTAGCCAGCAATAAATATTCTGGTGTCAGCTGTGACCAGTTAGCACTGGCAAGGTGAATATCAGTAGCTCAGGGGAGGGGGGCATCATTCACACAAACAGTCACTTTGCCCTGAATGGACAAAGTGACAATCTCTTTAAATTGTCTGTCCAAAACTTTAAAAGCTGGAAAGGGTTAAAGCCACTGTCAGGTTTCTGGTGGCAATGTGTTTTGGGGTCCAACAAACCAACCCTTCTTCAGGGCTCAGGTCTTGGAAGTGGTAGAACTCAATGGCACAAGGAAGTATGTGCAACTATCAGGTTACAGGACCCTTGGAACCAGTGTCCGGTCACCCACATATATAGTGTTTTGCTGATACACAGGTGTGCAGTAACATCTATACATTATTCCAGGGTATTGGGCCGTCTTTGAGTTCTACCACTTACAACAGCTGAGCCCTGAAGAAGGGGGGAGTTTGCTGGGCTCTCAAAATGCATTGGCTGTTATATGTTATTCTAATGTGAATGAAGATTATTATTGTTAAAAGATTTTGGATTCTTGGACCTTTTGTTTTGCAGTCTCATGAAGGCTGGGTTCACACTTGTGCGGTGTGGTATATCGCATGTGATTCGCACAGGAACCGCACTGCATTCTTGTGCAAGTCACATGCAAATTCTGTGCGGTGCAATTGAAGCCATACATTTTGTAGGGATCTAGAATCAGATCGCATGGGCATTCACACCTATGAGATCCGATTCTGCACATCGCACAATGTTTTTCTGACCAATTTCGGGATGTTGTTGACTTAACATACACACCTGCAGCGGTTCGCATGAACAGGGTGCGATTGTGATGCGGCGCGGAATTCACACAGAAAACGCTGCAAACTCCGCACCGCATCAGTGTGAACCAAGGCTGAACCAAGAATCCTCAATGCTGGGTCCTCTTTGTTAGGGGCTATCCTGTTTTCTGGAGAGCAGCCTAACCAGAGTCACAGGGGATGATTTCCTAAAACTGTAGCACTCAGAATCTGGTTGGTTACCATTCACAGCTGCACCAGATTCTAACCTCAGCTTGTTCAATTAAGCTTTGGCAATAAAACCTGGAAGCTGATTGGTTTCTATGCAGAGCTGCACCAGATTTTACACTCTCCAGTTTTAGTAAATCTTCCCCCAATTATCTTCTGTCTCCTGTTAGCCTCACAGATTTACCATAAATTCATATCCAGCATCTTGTCTTTCCTTAGGTTTATAGTGGCATCTCTAATGCTAGTTACATAGTAATTCAGGTTAAAAAAAAAAAAAAAAAAAAAAAAAAAAAAAAAAAAAAAGGGACACACGTTCATCTAGTTAAACTAAAAGAAAAAAAAAGAAACCCTACATAACATAGAAAACTTTCATACACACAATCGAATACCCATCGTTTATCCAGAGGAAGGCAAACATACCCAATAACACATGATCCAATTTGCTCTAACGCGGCAAAACAATTCCTTTCTGATTCCACAGGAGACAATCAAATACTCCCTGGATCAGATGTTATTACCTATAAATAACCTAAAAAAGGGTTTTTTTTTTTGCTTTTCTGTCTTTTTTTTTTTTTGAACGAATTGACGGAGAGTAAATATACGTCTAATGATAATACCAATACACTGTTTTTTTTTTATTAGAGTAAAATGTATTATACAAAGACACATCTGTACAGGAAGGGACTATAAAGGACATACAGAGATAAACCACCATAAAGATAAATCAGACTCAAAATCGAGATCACACTACACATAACCAAGTCATTGGGGAGTCACCCGAAATCAGCAATCAGAGCGCCAACAGAGATGACCCTAAAGTGTAAGTTCCAGTCACCACTGTGACCTGGATATACAAATCCTCTGTTCCAAAGTCAAAGTCTGAGGAACCATTAAGACCGCTAGCCTGCAGTTCTCTTCCTCTGCACTAGAGTTGCATTCCAGAGGCCTACAAAGAAAATCCTGAAACCGGATCAGGACAAAGGCCAGAACTTAGTCTGGTGAATAGCAGGATCAATGACACAGCGGTCACTGCAGTTTACATTTTATTTGCCTCCTCCTGGTGCCCGCTTGCAGGATTTGCCCTGTAATAACAAACATGACGCTATAAGGCAGGACAGCTATGGGTAATCTCTTCCCTCATAGCTGCCCTCAGCAGTTGCAGAACTTTAGAGCACCAAACCCGATGACTGAGACAGACACCAACATGGGCAGCCATTTTTGTAGAGGTGGGTAGGGAAGGTAGGGAATTTTATTCTGTAATGGAGGTTTTAGTGTCTTTTAGAAGGGTTCATTCTGCCTTCCACACAAATGGAGTCGTACCACTTCAACCAATAGGCCACACCCCATCAAATATACATATTATTATTACAGCTATGAAGGATTACTATGCACATTCCATTTTTATGAATCAAGTTGGGAATGTCTAGTACAAATAGTACAAGAGCCTGAAGTGAGCCTGAAAATGATTGTTTAAAATACTTCCAATACATCTGTGGGAAGTGCCTCCCCGTTTCAGGGCTTAAATGTAATGTGCAAAATTAAATCCAGACAAGATTTATTAAAATGACTGCTTTGTGACTGAAAAGAGCAGGAGGTTACAGCGTATCCACACATTATAATTAACAGGTTTTTTTTTTACCTTAATGCATTTCCCCCAGCCTCCATATACTTAGCTGCGCTCAATCTTGATCCAGTGCTGTGCCAAGAGCAGCAACCCTCTTAGCTCTCTCTCTCCTCACTGGAGATCGAGGCAGCAGCAGGAACCATTGGCTCGCTGCAGATCACAGCCAGTGAGAAGAGAGCAGGGAGGGTTTGAGCAGCGCTATGTGCATCGATGGACAAACACAGTGCAGCTTGGGATTGAGCCTGCATGAGTGCCCCCATAGCAAACAGCTTGCTATGGGAGCATTCGGCAAGGGGAAGGAGCCAGGAGCGCCTGCTGGGGACACCAAAAGTGGAGGAATGGGGCTGCTCTGTGCAAAACCATTGCACAGAGCAGGTAAGTATGACGTGTTTGCTATTTTTCAAGAAAAAACATTTTCCTTTAGAATCGCTTTAAGCTCTGAAGAGGGCCCTTCCCCCAAAATCCATTGGTGTTTTTTATACAATAAACATTTAATTTGACCATTTGTACTAGGCACGCCTATTGTTCATAAAAATCTGCTAAGAAGTACATTGAATGCGAATGGAGAGGCCACAGCCTAGGAACCACAACTGGGTCCCCTCTTCTTAACAGGCCTCAAAAGGAGAAGTAATTTGCTTGAATTTACGTAAACCAAACCCTAACTTGGGTTTCAACCCCCCACCGCGATACCCTGAGATGCTAAAATAACAGTTGGACCTGTGAAATCTAACCTTCTAACATCCTCCTGTATTATAAAAACAACATTAAGGCACTCTGGACTAGAATGGGCCCTAAACCGGACACCTCCAAAGTACTAATACCTTGATTATTGGAAGGACCATGTACAGAGTCTACCTTCCCCAGCCTCAATAATGACATTATGTTCTCTGCTAAATAACAGGTGCTCTTTAAGCCTTTGGTTTTACAGATTGTATATAGTTTATATAATAAATGTGTCACCAAGTATGAAAGCAGGATTAGGACACCAACACACAGACGGAACAGTCTTCTCGAACCTACATGATCTGTGCGGAAAGGGCGTGTCTCAGCTACAGAAGAATCAGAACCAGCCAAAAGCTGTGGGCGGAGACTAGCATCCGCTATCGGTGCAGGGAAATCCTGGCTTTATGCCAAAGCGTCGAATGAGCAAATCATTTTTTAAATCTCCGCAAGGTTCCACCCTATTCACCTACATCCTCACTCATAACAAAAAAAAAAAAAAAATATAGATAAAACTTAGAGTCCATGAAATACATTTGACACGTTAGTCCCGTCGCAGATTGTTCAGTCGCTCTTCCAGGTCTGCATCTGCGTCGGCCAGTGCAGCTGTGGGCTCTGCTTTTTTCCCTCCAGCCACGCTGAGGGATCCTCCTGTACTCGGTAGGTCTGCATGGTGCAAGAATATGAGATGTGAAGTAAACAGATACTGGACACAAAACACAAAGCCTATGCAGCAACAGCAAAACAACCAACCTTACAGTACAAGAACACTTACAGCCCATTAACACTTGTGCATTGTGGCAATGAATCTCCTAAATGTGCAGCATATTGCGGTGCCTATGATTGTGAATGGCACTAGTGCATTGTATAGTACAGCCCAATGCACTGCAGCGCACCACATTGGAAAAACCATCTGTTACGAAACACTGTTTTTTTTTTTTTTTTAAATTAAGAAAAGAAAGTGCACCCATTTTTATCCACTAAGCTGCTTTAGCAGCCCATTCATAATAAAAGGGCTGCCTTAAAATAACACACACGTCATAACATGCTAGAACGTGCGCATTAATACACCACAACGGAAAGTGTGGATTTTGCCACAAACAGGAGCCACATATAGTAAGCCGTAGCTACTGTCTGCTAATGTTACTGAGCTGGTCCAGGCCCTGAAGAGACCCCCGACTTTAACGTCAGGATCCATCCAGATGTCTGGACCAGCAGCTGAGAGCCTGAGCCATCCGCTCCTGCCCCTCCCACAATCCAGTGAGCACTGTAGGGGCAAAGCAGAGAGCTAGTGACTTACAGCCACCGTCTCTCTGCTCACTGAAGACCGAGAACTGAGTGATCAGCAGTATTTGAGCACTCAGTTTTCTTGGGCCCCTTTCACAAAGGCAGACCGATCAGAACCCCTTGTCAGTTTTTTTTTTTAGGTAGACTGATCAGATCCTCCCTTCTCTAGGGAGCAGCGAGTATACACCCAACTACATCCAATCCGATCTGAACTGCTAAAAACAGATGGATGGGTATCCGTTCCCCATTCATTTAGCTGATCGAATGCGGTCAGGTGTAAACAGACAGGTCGTCCGTTTACATCCCACTGCCCATAGAGGAGAGCGGGCTGTGTCAGCTCTTCATAGATGGATTGGACATGGATCAGCCAGAGGGGATCAGCGAACAGTCATGTGTGGAAGGGACCTTAGGGCCAGCGGGGGACCGATACTGCATCCATGTAGGTGAGTATATCTGGAATTTCTCTTTTAGGTAAGAGACTTAAAAATAAATAAAAGGGCTGTGTTAATGGCATCAGTATTTATATATATATATATATATATATATATATATATATATATATATATATATATATGTGTGTGTGTGTGTGTGTGTGTGTTTGGGGGTTCCAAGTAATTTTCTAGCAAAAAATACCAATTTAATCGTGTAAACAAAAATCCCACACAACTCCAAGAAAACAAATATGGCTGAAATATAAATACGTGATTGCTCCAAATCACATTGTATGCATTATTTTTACACCTTAATGAGTGACAGCAACAAAAAAAAAAAAAAATAAATAAAAGTGTTTTCAAAGCACGAAGTCTGCTTTAGGTCAATCAGTAAAGGGTATCTCACGCGCCAAACTTTTGACATAATCCTGTGTCAGTCCTGTGCTTCACACATCCCAGCCAACTTCTTTCAAATACTACAATCATTTTGTTGTCTTATGGAGTTTATACAGCATCAAAGCCCTGTTGATGAGGGGGTGCCAAAACCCCCAAACATGCTGGCTGTTTTATTCCATTCTAACAAGATTTTTTTAAATCCTTTCTGGACTCTGTAGACCTTGATGTGGAATTTTCACTGCTGTTTTCATGAGTTTTTGGACACAGTCAGGCAGAGGAAACCTTTCTATCAGCTGCACACTGGATAATGAACAGGAACTGTGATCATTCACAGTCAAACCAGGAGGCAGGTGACATAGAAAGCTACAAAACTGAAATAGTAAATTGTTTTGTCACATTTCTCGCTATGTGGCGAGGATCACAAGGCTGATTGAACAGTCTCTTATATGTATTTAAAGTGTAAATTAGCAATGTTCATTTTTAAAGTTTATATTTTATGGGAAATACTCACTGGAGAGCTCATCTGTAAGAGTAAGGCCCAGTTCATCAAATACCTGAGATACCACAGCGTCACTACAGGAAAACAAAAAAGATCACAGCCTTCAGTTCTGATGCATAGTACAGCAATCTCATATTAAAGCAGAAATGTAATCTGCTTCTATTGTTCCTTCTCCAGTTTTTTCTTCCCCTCATCAACATGCTACTGAAGTTTTAAATAAAAACCGTTCCATTTCCTAGCTTATTTTAGACCCAGTGATGTAGTCACTGGGTCTCTGTGCTTTTCTGTTCAATGCAACCAGATTATGAATGGTGGGAGGGGCAGGCAGGTTGTTGTACATAGCTTCTTGAAAACATCCCTGCACTGTGCCTCAGTACTCCTGATGAAAGCAATGGGATGATTCTTGGGGGGAGTTTTGCAAATATCAAAATGCCTAAATGAGTGGATGCCAGTCTGAAGGAGTGTGTGGTCCTAGACAGGCTGAATTTGCATGAAGACCACCCCAATTAACAGTCACAAATGATGCTGGTCTCCATGTTAGAAAGAATTAAAATCCAATGAATAAATGGGCAGGGGCTAGATAATGCTGGAGAGGATCCTGTACAACAGTACAAAACTGAAGGGAAGGGAGATCAACTTTAGAATTAAATTTACACTACTGTGCTGGATCTGCGGTTTAGCTGTTTCAGCACACATTACACAGGCATGGTCCATTATTGTCACCATCAGGGAACCTATCCTGGGAAATGCATTGCTAGAGTGCATGTAGACAGAAGAGGCTGCAAAGAGGCTGCAAGAGGTCAGCCACACAAGGAATTTAAAAATAATAAAAAAAAAAAAAAAAGGTGAAAACAAGGATTTTATTTTTAAAAATTACTGTATAATACACAAAGCACACAGCAAACTAAATATCACCCAGTTTAGTGTTACATCTATTTTGAGTACAAACAGCTAAAACCATATTACAACCTGAACCACTTGCCTACCGGGCACTTTTACCCCCTTCCTGCCCAGGCCAATTTTCAGCTTTTAGTAGTGTCACACTTTGAATGACAATTGTGAGGTCATGCAACACTGTACCCATATGAAATTCTTATAATTTTTTTTTCACACAAATAGAGCTTTCGTTTGGTGGTATTTAGTCACCACTGTGTGTATAAACAAATGACCAGAAATTTTGAAGAAAAAAAAAAAAAAGTTTTTTTGTTTCGATTTTAAACTTTTTCAAAACAGGTAATTATTATACAGTATTTATAAAGCGCCAATAGTTAGCTCAGCGCTGTACATTACAGAGGGGGACAGAACATGTAACAGAACAATACCAATACAATGCAAAACATGAGGGGATCGAGGGCCCTGCTCTTTCGAGGTAATTGTTCTCCTTCATTGATGTGCGTTGATGAGGCTGCACTGATTAGCATTGATGAGGAGGCACTGACGGGCACTTTTGAGGCTGCGCTGATAAACAGGGCAGTGATCAACAGTGTAGATATCTCCTTTCACAATTGCTGGTTATCAGCAGTACTTTCCTCACGCTGTGACAATATGAGGAAAGTACTGCTGATAACCGGCAAGTGTATTTACATGGTGATCAGCTGTGATTGGACACAGCTGATCACGTGGTAAAAGGCCACTGTGACTGACCCTTTACCGTGTCATGTCAAAGGACACGGCGATCACAGAGCGCCGGATGCGCGTTCTTGGAGGATGTCACGTGACACCCTCCCAAAACTGGACGACTGTGCTGTAGCCGTCATTCGGCTATAACGCAGTCAAGAAGTGGTTGAACAAGCTCCTGTGTTCCTCTCTACACATATACATGCAGCAGATCACAGAGTATACATACGTTTCTTCCTCGTCATCCTCATCTCCCATTGCGTCATCAATAGCGTCATTCATCATCTCCTCCTTCATGTCCATAATCTCCGCCTGCTTCTCAAACTCCATCATGATCTTCTGGATTTGGGGCAATTTCAGCTGCAGGTGAAGAGATTTCCTGATCAGAACCCAACCGTCACATTGTCTGTCATGTGACCTACTCTGACCTGAGTGTACCATGTTAAATGAGAGCACCGCCCAGAGAGAACATAAAGAACCACGGAAGACAGACGGCTGAAAAAGATCAAGTGGTGCATCAAGTTTCTTTTTCTTTTTTCAATGTTTCTAGGGAAGGGGAGGTGTCTGGTAAAACACAGTCTCTGAATGTGATGTATTAAGATGCCCTACCTGTGCCTGTCAAGCAGTTTATTCAGCAAAAGCCATGCAGAGTGCAATAGAGATGTCCAAACAGGATGGCAATTCCAATTTAATGAAGTAATATTGGTGTATAAATAATCAATTACTGGTCACTGAATTATCTACTTGAGCCTACAAGCTGGCTGGAAATAATCTATAAAAGAAAAAAAAAAAGAAAAGAAAAGAAAGGGGGGGGGGGGGGGCATGGCGTCTCTAACTCTCACCTTTCCACTTAAAACTTTAAAGAACTAAACCCCCCTATTCTTTTCAGCCAAGGAAGTTGCCATCTTAGCATCAGTTGGAAGAAAAAAATAATTAATAATAATCTGAAACTGCCATGGTGCTACACACATGATCAGTTGTGACACAGGCTACTTGATGGATGACAGTTTGGTTGATGGCACAAGCAAATGTGACACTTGGCATTCGCACCATGTAACTGTTCTTTCAAACTGTTAAAATTGATGGGATTAGTTCCGCTTTAGCTGCAAAGACTAACTGAATGGTCCTTATTTATTACAGTAATGTAATACATTCAAACACATGATTGCATTCTGCTGTATTTTTTTTTGCTAAACTGCTATAGGTGTGTAAACAGGTCAGACATTCTCTCCCGGGACAGAAGTGACTCTGCTCCCTCCACCAATGATTAAGCCCATTGGTTAAAATGCACCATGGGGCAGAGCAGGGGCGGACTGACCATTTGGAAACTCGGGCACTGCCCGAGGGCCTGGGGTCAGTAGGGGGCCCCATGAGATGCCCCTGGTACCTTTTTCATAGGCTTTTTTGAGTTTGGGCAAGGACACAGGGGCCCCATGATCCCCTATTACCCGGGGGCCACATGAGTTGTCAGTCCGCCCCTGGGGCAGAGTCAAGCCTGACAAGTGAGAGAGTGTCTTGTTGCAGTTGCCACTTTTATCAAAATTGAGTCAGGCTGAGGGCAGCTTAGCCATTCACAAGAAGCTGGGTATTTTCTCAATGAATACAAGGCTTCCTCTGATTGGCTGAGGTGGAGAGGCAGTTGGATTATGTCAGGATCTCCACCTCAGCCAATCAGAGGAAGCTTTGTACACATTCATAAAAAAAAAAAAAAAAAAAAAAAAAAAAACACAGCTTCCTGTAATAGCTAAGCAGTGCTCAGCCTGACTCAATTTTGCTTCAGGAACCAGGCTCATGCTGCAGGAGCACAGCACTGTATACTGCATGAAGCTGAGACTACATACATATGCATACAATTCATGCATTGATGATGGAAATAGTTCGTTTGGACCAGCTTGTTCCAAACAAAAACTACTCAAAGTTCACTAAAACATGGAATTGGGCACGAAGGGCAGCACTGATTGACAGACAGTGCAGGAAGCATGAAGTAATATTGCCCTCAATGCAAGAAACCCCTTCTGTCTCACACATTTCAATGGGAGGACACAGAACACGCTCCTATTCCTTTTTTGTGTCTATTTTTTAGATTAGAATTTTGGGAGCGATTTCAGAAAAAAAATGTGTATTTAAAGCTGTGTTTCTCAACCTTTTTTCAGTCAAGGCACCCTTAAAAAATTATACACAGTCATGAGGCACCCTTTAAAATTTTGTAAAGTCTTGAGGCACCCCATTCTAAATGTGAAAAGTTTTATCTAAAACGCAGTAACGACCACACATGTAGGACACCCAACATTAGAGGTGATTTATTCTTCCAAAGCAAATACACTTTTGCACACTGGTACTGACTAGTATTCCATTGTTTCTCTTCTCCTTCAGTTTTTCTCCATAACTGAGCTAATGTGTGCCCAACACTGATGGAGAGCGGCGGGGGAGAGTAAATTAGGATGCTGTGCAGGCAACCAACAAATTTTTCTTATCAACTGATGATATCATTGGTTGTTAGGATTCCAGCAGCTGGAATGTCATAATGGTGCACAATGAAACCTGTGGCTTTGTGTAACTAAAAGGCAGGCTTGTATACACGTTTTGGGCAATTTTTAGACATTTTGCCAAGGCACCCCTAAAGAAACCTCAAGGCACCCCTAAAGAAACCTCAAGGCACCCCTGAAGAAACCTCAAGGCACCCCTGAAGAAACCTCAAGGCACCCCTGAAGAAACCTCAAGGCACCCTGATTGGGAAAGGCTGATTTAAAGCCAAGAAGAACAATGTAATATATGGCAGCTTTCGAGTCCTTAAGATATGGTGGACTTTTTTTTAAACACATTTCCAGTCCTAGGATGGCAATAGTCACTCATTACCATTCTCTATGAAGGAGCAGCGTTCTCACCCTAGACCTGAGTGTGTGCTAAGACTACAGAATATCCTCCCTCTCCTCGTGTTCATAACATAAAGGGGGTGGGGGGTATTCTGTAGTCCACAGTAAAAGCTGAGAACAATGCAACTGATCAGAGAGTAGCACAGGCAGAAAGAATAGTAATTTACCAGCTGACAAGGATCAACAGGTATGTTTTTACTCCTATCGTACAAAACACTTGCAATGAATAATTCAACTGATCAAAAGTTAGCAAATCAAAAATTCTCTTAGTGGTTTATATGCTCTTTCAAGGTAGATTCAGTCTGATGAGGAGACATTAAATGTGAACTCTGTGCCCCATGTTGTAACTGGAAGATCAGGGTTCTCACCTGTCTGTTCATGGTGGCCATGGCTTTAGTCACCCCTTTCATCGCCTGGGCCATGGAGTTATTAGACTTCAACGTCTGGATCTTAAGAGAGACAGCCTGAATGTTGGCTCGCATCATAACGAACTTCTTCATGTACCGTCGGGTACGGACAAGGTCCTTAGCCATGATCTTCACAGCATCCTAAAAACAAAAGAAAAGAAAAATACTGGACTGGTATCGCAGTGTGCAGTGGCTGCTTTTAGCCTAAGGCCAGGTTCACATATGTGCAGCCATGTGGGCCGCATTCTGCGCCGGCACGACAGCCTATTCATTTGAATGGACTCTCGTGCCCCGGGACATGTAGGGAAGAAGTCCCTGCACTGCTTCGGAAATCGAGGCCGCACGGGAACCGAAGTTCCCAGTACGGTTGCAATTTCCAGTGCAGGCGGCGTGCCATTAGAATTAATTGCACCCGCCCATGGGTCCTGCATTTCTCTGTGCGGCTGCAGGTATTTGTGTAGGTCCTGCAACGGCACCAGCAGCACCACCCGCACAGATGTGAACCAAGCCTAAATGTTCCTTAGACACCGCTCTGCTCTACTACTTTGGATTTAATGCAACAGTATAAATAAATAAAAAAAAAAAAAGAAAAAGAAAAAAAGGAGGAGTCCCACTATAAAAAGATAACTGTTAAAAGGAACAACTGACTTCTAAAAGTGCAAGTGAGTGTTGAAACAAAACGTATTTATTTTATGTACATCACCCACTGACCATCTGTCCCTGTTTAGCCATTTTCTTAATATCCACTATAACTTTCTTCTCCTGCTGCTCAAGTTTCTGTCGCTCGCGGTCGAGCTCCCTGATGGCGCGGTTAAGGGCCCGCTGATTCTGCCGCAGCATCTCCTCTGGGGTCTTCCGGCGTCCAAACAAAAAATCCATGTTTGCTTCTTAGGGTCTGTGTGATAAAAAAAACATAAAAATATTAATACAAGACGTGCAAAGGTCTACAAAGACGGACGCCATCGCGAGCACCTAACACTGCATACGATTTAGAGACATAAATGGACGTTTGAGAGGTTTGCTGTCTGGTGTGGCAGCATAAGGTTTCAAATTTAATAATCTAAATGAACCAAATTCAGGACAGGAATGAATATTCATTAACATTAAATTTATATCCATCCAAAAGAAGTTTTAGCCTGGGTTTGTTTTCTCTGCGAAATCCGCACCGCATCAGAATCACACCCCGTTCATGCAAACCGCTGCGGGTGCGTATGTTAACAACACCCTGAATCAGTCCGCAAAATGTGATGCGATGTGCAGAATCAGATCACACAGGCGTGCATACCCATGTGATCCAATTCTAGTGAGGACAAAAAAAAAGGGTCCTGCACCTCTTTGGTGCGCATGCGGTGCGATTTGAGCCATATAAAAAATGTATGGCTCCAATCGCACCGCACACAATTCGCATGTTCGACTTGCACAGGAATGCAGTGCGGTTCCTGTGTGAATCACATGTGATATACCGCATTTGTGTGAACCCAGCCTTAGTCTTAAATAAAAGCAAGGGAGTTAAAAGCCCTCTAGGCTCTCATCTGTCTCAGAACTTGGGTACAGGGCCTCCACAGACCTGGCTGTCTCGTTTTCGCTGCTGGACTTTCCATATATTTTACATTAGGGTAAAGCAATAAATAGGAACTGGACTCTGTGGTGGGGTGGGCACAACCATGGACTCTCCAGCTGCTGGAATCCCCAAAGGGGAGGCAGAGGGTGACTCAGCCAAACCCGTATTTAAAATACCAGTTTTGGCCACAATGGGCTTTAAATAGAACCCTGGTGCCCAACCTGCCCTTTGGTACTTGTGTGGCCCTTGGACCCCAGCGGTCTCTAGGTGGAGTGGGGACATTTATTTGTAAAGGGGTAAAGGTGATGCCCTCTTCCAGTCTCATGTTATATGTTCCCAATCCCTCATAATCATGTACAGCATGTCTCCAAACCTGAGCTGTCACCAGTCTCTGACCATCATTTCCTCTAGTACGTCATGCAACTTAAAGTGGAACTACACTGTATCTGAGCACCAAAGAAGCTACCCAATTTATTTTTAATATTCAAAGAAAACTCCCCCATCCATCCATATCTCTATGTTTTATTTTACTAAGAAAAAACAACCCCTAGCATTTCTGGCCATGGCCATCCTAAAGGGTAGACGATTCATGTAGCAATTACTTCATGGAATCCATCTGCCCTTAGCTCAGGCATGCAGACAGGAAGGTGTGCTTAGTTGAGAAAACCCCTCCTCTCTCCTGAGGACTCCTGGGATGTATGACATCATTTGTCTATGCCAAAGTCCAGGAAGTATTTAAAACAAGTAAATATGATATAACTTTTCTATCTATGTGCTAATGCTAGCAGCATAAGAATTCAACATAGTCAGTGTTGCTTGAGAGAGTGAAGTTCCACTTTAATGATCAAAGAATGACGGACTTTAATGGTACCAAGACACTGGAGATATATATATATAAAATTCAATATTTATTTGGAATAATAACCAATAAATATATTTTAGTGTATGGCATTTGATCTATTCCAACACAAAATATACAAAACAAAAGGCATCAAAATGGAACCCTTAGAAGCTTGTCCTTAAACTACCACTGATCAGCTTTATATGACTATGTCATGTATCTGTCCAGTCTCATAAAAGGAAGAATACTGTACAGCCCTGGCCAAAAGTTTTGAGAATGACACAAATATGAATTTACCTGCAAGGAGACACGTGCAGTCATCAATTGCTTTCCACAAAAAGGGATTCACAGGCAAGGATATTGCAGCTACTGTGATTGCACCTAAACCAACCATTTATCAGATCATCAAGAACTTCAAGGAGAGAGCTCCAGTTGTTGTGAAGAAGGCTTCAGAGTGCCCAAGAGTGTCCAGCAAGTGCCAGGTCCGTCTCCTAAAGTTGATTGATCTGTGAGATCGGGCACCACCAGTGCAGAGCTTGCTCAGGAATGGCGGCTGGCAGGTGTGAGTGCATCGACAAAAGGTGCAGGGATTGGACTGCTGAGGACTGGGGTAAAGTCATTGTCTCTGATGAATCCCCTCTCCGATTGTTTGGGGCATCCGGAAAAAAAAATCTTGTTCGACAAAGAAAAGGTGAGCACTACTATCAGTCCTGTGTCATGCCAACAGTAAAGCATCCTGAGACCATTCATGTGTGCATTTGCTTCTCAGCGTAGGGAGTGGGCTCACTCAGCCCACAGAACACAACCATGAATAAAGAATGGCACAAAAACATCCTCTGAGAGCAACTTCTGCCAACCATCCAAGAACAGTTTGGTGGCGAACAATGCCTTTTCCAGCATGATGGAGCACCTTGCCAGGAGCCAAAAGTGATAACTAAGTGGCTTGGGGAACAAAGCATCAACATTTTGTGTCCATGCTCAAAAAACTCACCAGATCTTAATCCCGTTCAGAACTTGTGGTCAATCCTCAAGATGCGAGTAAACAAAAAAACCCGATAAATTCTGACAAGCTCCAAGCATTGATTAGGTTAGAATGGGCTTCCATCAGTCAGGATGTGGCCTACAAGTTGATTGACAGCGTGCCAGAGCGAATTGCAGAGGGCTTGACAAAGAAGGGTCAACACTGCAAATATTGACGCTTTCCATAAACTTCATATAATCGTCAATAAAAGTCTTTGACACTTATGGAATGCTTGTAATTATACTTCAGTATGCCATGGGAACATCGGACAAAAAAGCAGTAGACATTGTGGAAATGTATATTTCGGTCATTCTCAAAACTTTTGGACATGGCTGTATATCATATCATGTGTGAAATCTTTATAAAGTTCAGGCCTCCAGGACCAAGGAAAGCTCTGGGAGTTTGTTTCTGGGAAACAAAACCCTCCAAGTCTGGACTTCAGCTCAGGCCTCCCATCCTTCACTGGACAATACATTTTTTTTAACTTGGCAGGGCAGATTGTTCCCTTTATTGAAATACCAATAGAAGGACAAAGCAAGCAATTCCATGTGTGCTGCATGGCATCCAGCGGTAGATATTGGGGTCTTCCAGGGTCAGTAGATGTCTCCCCACCTATCATTTTAGTAGAGGTTTCCATCCATCTATGACAGGAGTGGTCAACTTTCCTGACATAGGTGGCCTCAAGTGCGGCCCCTGACATCACCAAAGGGCTGCATATAAAATTTATTGAAAGTAATGATACAGAAAGTTGAGCACACACTTCTAGAGGCTGCCTACTTGCCACTGGGGCGGCCAGAGGCTGCGCACATGTTATTGAAGGTGGTCAGAGACTGCGCACACACATCCCCAGCCAGTGCAGAGGTCCGCTTATCTGTCTCCTCCCCCACCTTCTCTGCCATATTTGGCTCCTTTTGGGGGGGGGGGGAGCGGATCTGCCGCAGTGAACTAAGCTGGAAGCTCGCCCCCCCCAAGTCCTCTGGGGACACTTCACAGGTCCCAGAGGACTGTGGCTCATTCACAAAGTGCAGCATGCTTTGCGCATGCACAGTAGGAAACTGGTAGCTGGTTTCCCTTAATCAAGATGGTGGCGCCAGCACCTGGCAGTCGATTGAAGAATCAGTTTGGGGTGAGGACACCGCTGGATCTGTGGACAGGTAAGTTCCCTAATATTATAAGTCAGCAGCTACACAATTTTTTTTTGAAGGGGAGCCGGAACTCCGCTTTAAGGAAAAAGGGGAAGAGGGCTGCTACTTTCAAATCCCTGGACCCCGCGTTGGGTGAGTGGGCAGTGAAAGCTAATCATCCACAAAGGTGAGTGCATCAGGGAGCGGAGGGTGGGAGAGGGTGAGAGGGTGTACGGTGAACTTACACTATTTTTCTTCACTGGCCTAAGTGAGCATCAAAACACAAATAATCTGCAAGGACCACACAACAAGTGCCAATGGGATGCACGTGGTCCCTGAGTCACAGGTTGGGTACCAGTGATCTATGGCCTTCCCTACACCTACTAACCTGTGTGTAGAGGCTTTCTCAGACATACACGGATCTGTAGGGGAACTTCGGACAGTCAGGCATACGGGGTAAAGTCCTCGGCTCCTGGCACAGCTGTGACCACAGGCTGAACCACCTCTGCAATATCAGAGCTCGTGCCGGAATCTCATTCCTCATCACATTAGTATGGAGGATCTCAGAGCATGCTGAATCACCGACAACTGATATAAACAGCTCAATAATACATGAGAGAATTATCCGAGGGCAGAGCTTAGATACCAGACCTGTGACTGATTATTGCCATCAATTTCTATAGCACCACCATTGCCAGTAGTGCAGTACAACATACAAAGCCCAACCCAGGCGGAGACATTAACCCTTTCAAGTGAAGGAGCAGGGTCCTTCTATCCCTCTTGTATTGAACTGTATTGTTGCTGTATTGTCTTCCGTTATATTGTAAAGCGCTGAGCAAACTTTTGGCGCTATATAAATCCTGTATAATAATAAAAAATATATAAATCCTGTATAATAATAAAAATATATAAATCCTGTATAATAATAAAAATATATAAATCCTGTATAATAAAACATATAAATCCTGTATAATAATAATAATAATAATATATAAATCCTGTATAAAAATAATATATAAATCCTGTATAATAATAATAAAAATATATAAATCCTGTATAATAATAATATATAAATCCTGTATAATAATAATAAAAATATATAAATCCTGTATAATAAAAATAATATATAAATCCTGTATAATAATAATAATATATAAATCCTGTATAATAAAAATAATAATATATAAATCCTGTATAATAAAAATAATAATATATAAATCCTGTATAATAATAATAATAATATATAAATCCTGTATAATAATAATAATAATAATATATAAATCCTGTATAATAAAAATAATAATATATAAATCCTGTATAATAAAATATATAAATCCTGTATAATAATATATATAAATCCTGTTTAATAAAAATAATATATAAATCCTGTATAATAATAAAAATAATATATAAATCCTGTATAATAAAAATAATAATATATAAATCCTGTATAATAAAAATATATAAATCCTGTATATTAATAATATATAAATCCTGTATAATAATAATAATAATAATATATAAATCCTGTATATAATAATAATGAGTACACAGAGTAGCAGAACGTCATAGAGATGGCAGGAACAAGATACAAGAGGAGTGAGGAGGCAAGACAGTGGATTGGTTGCTAACTACACCCATGTTATTTACCTGACTTCACACTTGTGCGGTGCGGCACAACGCATGCGATCCACTCAGGAACCGCACCACATTCCTGTGCAAATCACATGCGAGTTCTGGGCGATGCCATTTGAGCCATACATTTTGTATGGCTCAAACCGCACCACATCCGCACTAAAAAGGCGCAAGCCCTTTTTTTTTGTCTTTTGTATTCACACCCATGTGATCTGATTCTGCATATCGCACCGCGTTTTGCAAACCGATTTCGGGGTGTTGTTAACTTAACATACACACCTTCAAATGAATGGAATGCGATTATGATGCGGTGCGCAATTCACACAGAAACCGGTGTGTACCCAGGCTAAAGCTCGACACACAGGTTACAATCTGGTTGTACAATCTCTTTTTATAGGATTGGATACAAAGTGATTGGACACATTAGGTAGGTGCTCACATTACAACGTTTTGGTGAATGTAACGTATGATGTTTGGTCAGATTGGAGCCTGTAGGGTGACCCTTGGCTGTGTATGGCCGGATGGTAAGTGATAGTTCCCCTTACTGCACTCTTGAAAAGCTAAACTGAACATACCCGGGGAACACTTACCTTGCAGCACCAGATCTCGAGTTCAGTGCCCTCCCAATAACACGGTACATGGAGTTGATCGTCCTTGTGTTTAGGTGACCCCATTACATATGGGGGCAATAAAAAACTGGCCCAGATACCGATATCAATGTACGCACCAAACACAAGTAGGACAAACCTAATATACTGTATGACTGGGAAAGAAGCGAGCCCAGGACCCCGCGCTGCAAGCTGAACCTTCCACCTATAGCGTCACTCAGACATAGTCCGCTCGGGTGTCAGACAGGGCTGTAGGTGGGATAGTTATCGAGAACAATCAGATCTCTGTGGGAGACAGTCTAAAGTTGGCCATAGATGGATCAAATATGGCCGGATCTATCAGGGGATGCTGGGACTTGTAGTGTCCCCATATCTCATCCAGGATCTATCAGAGGATGCTGGGACTTGTAGTGCCCCCACAGCTCATCCAGGATCTATCAGGGGATTATGGGACTTGTAGTGTCCCCACAGCACATCCAGGATCTATTAGGGGACGCTGGGACTTGTAGTGCCCCCACATCTCATCCAGGATCTATCAGGGGATGCCGGGACATGTAGTGCCCCCACAGCTCATCCAGGATCTATCAGGGGACGCTGGGACTTGTAGTGCCCCCACAGCTCATCCAGGATCTATCAGGGGATGCTGGGACTTGTAGTGTCCCCACATCTCATCCAGGATCTATTAGGGGATGCTGGGACTTGTAGTGTCCCCACATCTCATCCAGGATCTATCAGGGGATGCCGGGACATGTAGTTCCCCCACAGCTCATCCAGGATCTATCAGGGGACGCTGGGACTTGTAGTGCCCCCACAGCTCATCCAGGATCTATCAGGGGACGCTGGGACTTGTAGTGTCCCCACATCTCATCCAGGATCTATTAGGGGACGCTGGGACTTGTAGTGTCCCCACATCTCATCCAGGATCTATCAGGGGATGCCGGGACATGTAGTGCCCCCACAGCTCATCCAGGATCTATCAGGGGACGCTGGGACTTGTAGTGCCCCCACAGCTCATCCAGGATCTATTAGGGGACGCTGGGACTTGTAGTGTCCCCACATCTCATCCAGGATCTATCAGGGGATGCTGGGACTTGTAGTGCCCCCCACATCTCATCCAGGATCTATCAGGGGATGCCGGGACATGTAGTGCCCCACAGCACATCCAGGATCTATCAGGGGATGCCGGGACATGTAGTGCCCCCACAGCAGCACATCCAGGATCTATCAGGGGATGTTGGGACTTCCCCCACAGTCCAATAAATTGCCCAGGGCCTAGCAGGGAATTTTGGGACTTGTAGTACCCACTGCTACAGCTCTAAAGCATATCCAGGATCTATCAGAGAATACTGGGACTTGTAGTACCCCCCCCCCCCCCCCAGCTTTACGGTCTGTTACTCTCCAAGGCTCTATACGCCCTAGTAATGCTGGGTCTTGTAGTCCTACCACAATTCCAAAACTTCCCAGGCCTGGCATGTAAACTTCAATAGGATGCCCCCTGGTATCCAAGGACACTGGGACTTGTAGTCTTACTGTAGGGGATGCTGGGACTTGTGGTGCCCCTCACAGCTCTGCAATCTGCCTCCAGCTCTGTAACTATGCCAAGGGCTTGACAGGGGATGCTGGGACTTGTAGTACCACTACGCATGAAGTCATAGGAGTTGATGTCTAGTAGCCAGACTCCCTCCAGGGAGCGGGCCACCACTGCTGCCCCCTCCCCCGGTCAGCTCTCACCTCTCACCTCTCCTGGGCTCAGTCTCTCTCTAGCTCCGTCTCTCTCTTCCTGTTTGGCCTGTCCGTGACGTCAGTGTCACGAGTGTCCCGGGAGCGCCGTTACGTCACCGCCGCCGAGATTGCTGCAAGGTGACTGGGCTGTGCTGAGGGCACTAGAGAGGCGATTTCCTGTCCGCACTGCAGGGGGCGAGGTGGAGCGTTAATACATCGCCGGCAATGGAGAGCTGACTCCAGGAAGATGGCCGACACCGCTAGGGAGTCTCAGAAGGTCAATCGCGCTCTAGTGACAGAGGCCGAGCAGTGGATGATACGGGGCCGCAGAGTGAGTTCCAGTGTGAGGAAGGTGTACAGAGAACGGGGTCTGTCTTCCCTCCCCTTCCCTTCGAGGATGCTTTATTAACTTGCAGTGTGTCTCTGAACTTCATTGCAAATGTCTTTTGTGTGTGTTTGCTTACTGACTGTGCTGGCCCAGCTCCTCTGCCCCAACCTTCACAACATTTTATGGAGCATGCGGGAAGGGAAGATAGGGAACATTATGCAGAGGGAGACTCAGGTGACAGCTGTGATTCAAAGGATGAGCTCACCCTCTCACCCTGCTGAGAATGACCCCCCCCCCCCCCCCCAGCAGTGCCTTAGCAGGCCAACTCACCCCACCCCCATTCCAACAGATCAGATCCCCCTTCCAGCAGTGACTTCTCTGTGGTTGCTCCCGCCCCCCCAACCCAACCCAACCCAACCCAACCCAACCCAACCCAACCCAACCTAAAGATGGCTCAGTAGCTCAGTTCCCCTACCAGCAGTTACTTGTCCTGCCCCTCCCCCAAAGGTGACTCAGCAGCTCAGTTCCCCCTGCAGCCGTGACTTCCCTATGCCCCCCCCTCAATAAGTGACTCAGCAGTTCAGCTCACCCCACTCCACACGTCCCAACTTTCCCAGATGGGAATAAGGGACACCTATTAGCAAAAGTATTTAGGCATAGGACACACCCCCTGTCACACCCCTTTAATGGGAGAATTATACAAAAAATGATTAGTTAAACCCACAATGATTTTTTTACCATTACTATTCCTTTATATTGACTATAAAGGTTTAGCATTGTAAGTACTTTTTGATAAATAGTGAATTTTATATACAATTATATAGATCACACCAAAGGCATGAGGACGTCCCTTGAAATCAAGAGACAGTTGGGAGCTATACTACTCCCTATCAGCAATGGCGCAGCGGCTCAGCTCCTCCCACTCCCCCATCCAGCAATGGAGCAGCGGCTCAGCGCCTCCCACTCCCCCATCCAGCAATGAAGCAGCGGCTCAGCGCCTCCCACTCCCCCATCCAGCAATGACGCAGAGGCTCAGCGCCCCCCCCCACTCCCCCATCCAGCAATGACGCAGAGGCTCAGCGCCCCCCACTCCCCCATCCAGCAATGACGCAGAGGCTCAGCACCCCCCCACTCCCCCATCCAGCAATGACGCAGAGGCTCAGCACCCCCCACTCCCCCATCCAGCAATGGCGCAGCGGCTCAGCACCTCACACTCCCCCATCCAGCAATGGCGCAGCGGCTCAGCACCTCACACTCCCCCATCCAGCAATGACGCAGCGGCTCAGCACCTCCCACTCCCACTCCCCCATCCAGCAATGACACAGAGGCTCAGCACCCCCCACTCCCCCATCCAGCAATGACGCAGAGGCTCAGCACCCCCCACTCCCCCATCCAGCAATGGCGCAGCAGCTCAGCACCTTCCACTCCCCCCATCCAGCAATGGCGCAGCAGCTCAGCACCTTCCACTCCCCCCATCCAGCAATGGCGCAGCAGCTCAGCACCCCCCACTCCCCCATCCAGCAATGGAGCAGCAGCTCAGCACCTCCCACTCAAACTGGCGGCCCTCCACCTGTTGCCAAACTACAAGTCCCATGAGGCATTGCAAGACTGACAGTTACAAGCATGACTCCCAAAGGCAGAGGCATGATGGGACTTATAGTTTCGCAACAGCTAGAGGTCTGCCAGTGTGACACCCTTGCTCTAGAGCTTAGTTCCCCCCTCCCAGCAGTGACTTTGTTCAGCTCCCCCTCCCTGCAGTGACTGTTGTTCAGCTCCCCCTCCCTGCAGTGACTGTTGTTCAGCTCCCCCTCCCTGCAGTGGCCCAGTAGCCCTCCAGCCTACTAATGTAAATAGAACAGCAACCTCTGTGAGAGTTGAGCTGCAGTCTATTGAGAATTAATTGCTCCACAGTACCTGCAGCTAGAGGTGAGGGCTTGTTTTAAAACTTTTACTGTCTATTAAGAATGCCTGCACTATCTCCTGTATAGGTATGGAACTTGGATGCATTTTGGGATGTAGGAGGGTCCATAGTCTACTGGATGCATTATGGTCATTATGACATAAACACCTCTCCATTAACTGGAGCAAATGTGTCACCTTAGCGGCAACATGAATTCTAACCCCACCCTAAAGCAGAACTCCAGGCAAACGGCTAAATAAATAACATATTAGAAGTGTTTTACATATTCATTTTTTTCTCAACTAGTCCTAAATACATGGGTGGATTTATAAAGAATTGGCCGCCTTTCACTTGGCCGTTTACTTTAAATTATGTTTTGTGTGAATGGGGCAAAAAAATAAACAGAAAAAAGCTATATCCTTTCCGGATGATTTTAATTGATTTAAAGAACTGTGGTCAAAATTTTAATTTTCCCATGCAGTGGGGCTGTGCTGCCACTGCATGGATTAACTGCTGTTTTTTTGTCTGGGGTGAGGAGATACAAAGATACTTACTTAATCCACCAATCCTCCAAGTGCAAGATCGGTCCCCATTGCTCCTAACCCCCATGCACACTAGTAGTCTTGCGAATGAACTGTCCCTGACGTCATCATGCCCATAGATTGGCTCTGGACATGAGGATAGCAGGAACAGTCCACCACTAGACAGGGGAGCACTGTTTTCCGGAGGATCAAAGGATATGGTAAGTATAGCTTTTCCTTGCAGCCCTGGACAAAACGAGCAGTTAACCCATGAAGGTAAACAATGTGCCTGGAGCTCTTCTTTAAAAACCAATGTCCTTTGATTTTAAAAGGAAAATACCACATTTGGCCATTAGAGCAGTGTATTTTTAGAATTTCCTATAGGAAATAGCGCCATCTAGTCACCAAATGCAGTATTTTCCATTTAAAATCAATTTACAATTGGATAGCATAGCCATAGGATGTAACTTGCATACATTTGTTTTTTGCACTGAAGAAATGTATGTGCACCTTCACTGGGCGAATGGCTATGCCAGTTCTTTGTAAATCAACCCCAATACATAGCCTAGTGTTTGCTGTGTCATTTGCTTGCTCACTGCACTACAAAGGGCATTTGCTGATTTTCTCCCTGTGGTCTAAACTCCTTCACTTTAGGAGCCAGTGCTTGAAACATGTTTATCTACAAATTGCATGCATTGCAGTAGAGCCTAATTGGCTCACTGTATAGAGGGGGAAAAAACAAAATGTTTCATGCTGCCAGCATTTTAAAATGTAGACTCAATTTCATACAAAGCCATCCACAACACTGCCCCGAGCTACATCACCAACCTCATCTGCAGATATCGCCCACTCCGCTCCTCCCAAGACATATTCCTCTCTAGCTCCCTCTTCACCTCCTTCCATGCTCATCTCCAGGAATTCTCCAGAGCCTCTCCCATCCTCTGGAACTCCCTACTGCAGTATGTCCGGTCAGCCCCCACTCTGTCTGCCTTTAGGCGATCTTTGAAAACTCATTTATGCATGGAAGCCTACCCCACCTCCACCTAAGAACTGTACTTGAATCACCTCCACCAGATCATCCCCCGCAGCTATCACCTTTTGTATCACCTCCCCCTTCCTTTAGATTGTAAGCTCCACGAGCCGGGCCCTCCTATTCCTTCTGTACTGAACAGTATTGTAATTGTACTGTCTCCCTTATATTGTAAAGCGCTGCGCAAACTGTTGGCGCTATATAAATCCTGTATAATAATAATATAAATCCTGTATAATAAAAATAATTTACTATCCAATCTGCTTTCAGTCTTGTACAGGCTCCTCTCCTGGAATGAAAGGACTGATTTCACTGCACACTGTGAACCGCTCACAATGTGCATTAGAAGCTGCAGCTAGTCAGAGCCACATTTCCTGGCAGGAGGACATCCAGCATCATAAAGTTCTTTCCTCCCCTGCCAGCATTTGGCTTTATGGATCTTGAACTCCACTAAAAATAACTTTTTTTTTTTAAAAGGAAGGAAAAAGATCCTTTTAGGCTCCTTTGATACTGGGCGCACTCAGTTTTGATCAGGATGCCAGGTCCATGTCCGCTCAGTGGACATGGACAACCCTTGCACTGCTCTATAGGCAGCTGAGTGTAAATGGACCTCACTTTCGGTTTACACCAGACTGCCCTCCAACCTGGTCCACCTAGACAGAAGGCGATGGATCCCCTTCTGTTTTTTGTTTAGCAACAGATCTGAGGTAGGTGTCTGTAAACACACAAAAGTCTATTTATGAAAGTAGTCTGCACCACTGTTGACGCTCTTAAAAAAATCTGTTTATTGAGAAATCCAAATTGTACAAATCAGATTTTTAGGAGCGGCAACGGTGGTCAGATAGTTAGTCTGGCTGAAAAAAAAAGACAACAGTCCATCCAGTTCAAACATAGAAAAGAAAAAATATAATCCTATACCCACAGCTGATCCAGAGGAAGGCAAAAAAAAACCGCCAGCAAAGCATGATCCAATTTGCTCCTGATGGAAAAAAAATTCCTCCCTGATCCCCCGAGAGGCAATCGGATATTCTCTGGATCAACTTTACCTATAAATGTTATATGCTGTTATATTCTGTGTATCTAGGAAAGAATCCAGGACTTTTTTTTAAACGCAATCCACTGAGCTGGCCAGAACCAACTCTTCAGGAGTCTATTCCACATTTTCACAGCTCTTACTGTGAAGAAACCTTTCCGTGTTTGGAGATTACATTTCTTTTCCTCCAGACGTAAAGTGTGGACTACTTTCATGGACTACTCTCTACACCTGTGCGACTGCAGGTTGGGCACCTATAGGCTCTTTTAATATTGTTCTAAGAATTGGATGGGTAGTAGCACTATACGCTTTAAAATAAGTAAAAGTCCATTTATACCCTCCGGTCTATATTGTATTTATTTATTTCAGGTACTTATATATCGCCGTCCATTTACACAGCGCTTTACATATATATTGTACATTCACATTAGTCCCTAACCCTCAAGGGGTGTACAATCTAAGGTCCCTAACTCACATTCATACATACACATACTAGGGCCAATTTAGACAGGAGCCAATTAACCTACCAGCTTGTCTTTGGGGTGTGGGAGGAAACCAGAGTACCCAGAGGAAACCCATGCAGGCACAGGGAGAACATGCAAACTTCAGGCAGGTGGTGCCATGGTTGGGATTTGAACCACCGACCCTAGTACTGCCAGGTGGAAGTGCTAACCATTTAGCCACCGTGCTGCCCATAATTGAAGGATGGAGGGTCCAATCAGGTCTGCCTGAAAAACTGACAAGCGGACCTGATCAGACCATTCGCATGAAAGAAGCCTTCGTGTGTTAGCTTTATAAATGATGTTCATGTTATTCGTCAATAAGTACGAAGACAAAAGGGTGTTTTTTTTTTCCCCTTTTCCATCTGTCTAGAGTTCCTCTAATTCCAAAACACAAGCCCAACAACCATCACCACCCACCACCGCATTAAAAACCAGAGGCCAGTAACAATCAGGTTTATTACCTTTTATTTATTTTTTGTCTTTTTATTTTATTATTTAAAACCATACACGTCAAGAAGTGGACTCTAAAGGGTCTCATTCACAAGACCGCGGCACCCTTTTACTGCACAGTAAACTGTCATTCTTCAATAAAAAAAAAAACAAAACAAAAAAAAAAACAAAAACAGACGTCACCAAGCTTTGTGAATGAGGCTCTAAAACTGAAAAGGGTCGCCTTTGCCCTGAAGCATAAAAGGGCGTGCAGGCATGGCTGTCACAAAGGAGGGAGCAGCTTGGCTCTAGATCTTCCTTAAACTGATAGGTTCCGCCATGTAACCCCCGAAGAGTACAGTGCCCATCCGCCCACAGGGACCACCCACTGACGTCCAGCGCAGACAGCCTTTAGCCCGTGGGGTAAACCACAGCAAAGCTGCTAGTTAATAAATATGCGTACTTATATATTCCTTGACCCCAAGACAAAGGGAAAGGAGGCCGTTGTGGAACAATGAGAGATACAGAAGTTCAAGAAGAGAAGGCCAACTGTCTTAAGGACTTTTGTGACCTTCTGTCCCAGTAACGATAATGGTGAAGCAGCATGCCACCAGACCCTCTCATATATATAAAAAAAAAAAAAAAAAAAAAAAAAAGAAAAGAAAAAAAAAAAGGCCTTTAGAAATAAGCAGCATTGGGTTCTATTTGCAGTTATGCATCTCCAGTAGGTGGGAAATCCCTAAAATCTATGATTTATTTTCATCTTAAAATGAATTCCCCTTTGAATAAACTCATCCGTGTTGCTTGTGGAGTATCATGGAAAGTTCCTTCCTTCCACGATAATCCCAAAATTTTGTAACTGGAACAGGAGCTGTTCCAACAAATTTCACCTGCAGTGCCACCTACTGGTAAAACTGGGTACAGCAGCCAAGGCCATTTCAATTCAACGGGTACCCAGGAGCCCCTGCGTCTGACTTAATGGGTCAAGATGACAAGGGAATGCTGGGAAGAAGGACCCTGCCCATGATTGCTACATGGAATGATCAGCAACAGATGAGAGGGGGAATGTCCAATTAAACTCAAAAGAAAAGCCTGCCAGCCAACTCAATGGATTCTTTCTGTCTTTTAATAAAATTACGAGAAGAGACAATGGGTGGAAAATGCTGATCAAAACAGAAATATTAAACAAAACTTTTTAAGGCCACCGAAATTCTGAAATGACTTCATGTGGGCTAATATAATAATGAAAAAAAAAAAAAAAAAGTCTTATAAACTAATTCAGTCACCAATGTTCAGAAATTTCCACGATGGCAAAAAAAGAAAATCTTGGGAAAATGTCATGGATAAATTATGAACCCATCAATAAATAGAAGCTCCGCGGGGGAGAGGGGAGAAGGACGTGAGGTATTGAGAGCCAGGTGGTGGCGCTGTTGAGTACTGTAATATGTGCACGCAGTGCTCCCTCCCAATACAAAGGGATAGCAGCAGGACATGGGACCTTGCATAGGTCTATCCACATCGGGAGCTTGGCCCGGACTTGGTGGGCGTGGCTGTAAGAAAGGGGGAGGCGCTGTATGGATGAGCAACGGGAATGGGGAGGGGGTTTGGGGATAGGAGGAGGAAAGAAGTAGGTCAGATGGGTGGCGGGTTTTGCACTCAGAAGCTGCGGAGTTTTATTTCAGGCAGCGCTCGAAGTAGGTGGATCCTATGTAGCCCCCCCGCATGGACCGCTGGACATTCTGTTCGAACAGGCGTCTGTTGTTCTGAAGAACTTCAGCGGCTTCTTTGTTTAATGGGTCTTCGGGGTTTGGCTCCTAACAAACAAAAATCAGACATTACAGTAATCAGGAAATAGACATCAGTGTAAAATGTGCAGATTAATTCCAGACTACGGCCCTTTAACCCATTCACGGCCACAGCATTTTAACAATTTTTTTTGCACATTTTAGGCCTGAAGATTAGGTAAAACCCCCAAATATATATTTTCTGAAAGCAGAGACCCAGGGCGATAAAATGGTTGGAGTTTTGGTAACACTGAAAGGATAAGCTGTACACAATACCGTCCAAAAGCGATGATTTAAATACTGTATATTTGCAGGTTATCAGTTTAATGTGTAAGTACCCTTTTCCAAAAAAAAAAAAAAAAAAAAAAAGTGGGCACCCTACACCTTCCCCCCACTGTACTTGCCTCATAGGTGACAGTGCTCACACAGCCCATGTAGCAGGCCAGGTATTTGAAATCCCCACTTTTCTTCCCATTCTTTCTGCAGGGTTTTCGGGATCAGTGTGATTCCTGCTCGTCAAAGTGGTCATGAGCCAGTTCAGAATCACTTGGAGCTGTCCTGAGAGCCCTACAGAAATAAGGGGAGAAGAGCAGGGATTTCAGATCCCTGGACCACTACACCAGCTCCATGGGAACGGACAGCTCGCCACCCACTGAGGGTTTGTACACAGCAGGGATGGAGAGGGACAGGGAGTTGTGGAGAAGGGTGTTAGGTCACCTTTTAATTTTTCTAAAAAAGGTGAACTAACCCTTTAACTGTAAATGATGGTCCTAGAATTACTGCTCCCACTCAAGTGCAGTGATATGCAACATGGGTAATGCAATCTCTGCTTTCATACATAGACAAGTATGTGGGGGCGCTAAATTATATTTTTAAGTGATTGACTAACATTTTTTAAACCCCCTCTCCCCTTAACTATATTGCCATCACAGGTTCTCTTTAGATGAGATTTCAGGGGTCTATTAGACCTCTAATGTCTTTCCTGTACTCCACTAAAAGATAATGGAGTGTAGATCATGCTCCATTAACTTCTTCCTTGGCCACAGCGGCTGGGGCAAGGAACAGCCGAAACCCAAAATAAAGTAACACACAGTGGGGTTGATTTACTATACCTAGAAAGTGCAAAATCTGGTGCAGCTCTGCACAGAACCCAATCAGCTTCCAGGTTTTGTCAAAGCTTAAATGAACAAGCTGAAGTTAGAAGCCGACTGGCTACCATATATACAGCTGCACCAGATTTTGCACTCCCAAGTTCACTGGTTTCCCTTCCCTCTACCCTGGCAACACCCAGCATGCTGGTCCCAGGCCCACAGCTGGGAAAGCAGAGATTGGAAAACATGTCAAGGGTGTTGACCGTGGGGGGTACACATTGCGGGGGTCTGTGAAAGTGACCAGGTAGCTTCTGCATGAAAGCCCACAAGTGGTCTGTAATTTTTTACACACAATCCCAGCATCTGTAGAGAGAGAAAGAGAGGGGAGAGAGAGAGAGAAGGGGGGGGAGGGGGGGAGAGAGTGAAGGGGGGGGAGGGGAGAGAGAGGGAGAGTGAAGGGGGGGAGGGGAGAGAGAGGGAGAAGGGGGGGGAGGGAGAAGGGGGGGAAGGGAGAGAGAGGGAGAAGGGGGAGAGAGAGGGAGAAGGGGGAGAGAGAGGGGAGAAGGGGGAGAGAGAGGGAGAAGGGGGAGAGAGAGAGAGAGAGAGAGAGAGAGAGAGAGAGAGAGAGAGAGAGAGAGAAGGGGGAGAGAGAGAGAGAGAAGGGGGGGAGAGAGAGAGAAGGGGGGGGAGAGAGAGAGAGAAGGGGGGGAGAGAGAGAGAGAGAAGGGGGAGAGGGAGAGAGAAGGGGGAGAGAGAGAAGGGGGGAGAGAAGGGGGGAGAGAGGGAGAAGGGGGGAGAGAGGGAGAAGGGGGGAGAGAGAGAGAAGGGGGGAGAGAGAGAGAAGGGGGGAGAGAGAGAGAAGGGGGGGGGAGAGAGAGAGAGAGAGAGAGAAGGGGGGGGGAGGGGGGGAGGGGAGAGAGAGAGGGGGGAGGGGGGAGAGAGAGAGGGGGAGGGGGGAGAGAGGGGAGGGGGGGGGAGAGAGAAAGGGGGGAGAGAGAGAGAGAAAGGGGGGAGAGAAAGGGGGGAGAGAGAGAGAGAGAGAAAGGGGGGGGAGAGAGAGAGAAAGGGGGAGAGAGAGAGAGAGAAAGGAGGAGAGAGAGAGAGAGAAAGGAGGAGAGAGAAAGGGGGGGGGGGGAGAGAGAGAAAAGGTGAATGTATTTAATGAGCCTTAAACTGCGGGTGAACCCTACAAAGCAATCGCAAAACAGATTTTATATTGTGACAGCTGTAAAGTAACCTCTTGCTGATCACGCTGCACATATGTGACCATGGCGGCTGAGGTCTCTGTGCTCCCAGCGCACTCCCAGCACAGTGACTGAGAAGGCAGACATCTCTCTGTCTCACTTTATGATCGGTACCTAGCGGGACAGGCATTCGATCATGTGACCAATGTGACAGTCAAATACAGTCTGTCCCACCTCCTGGTGTTAAAGGACAAGTTCTCCTTTGGACCATGGGGAGGAGCATGTAACATGTTCCAGCATCTACACCTTCTCCCCTCCCCCATCTCCCTTCCCTGTGACAGCAGGCAGGGGATCTTCTCCCCACACAGCTGCCACAATTTGCACACAGTATGGCAATACAGGGCTCTGCCCACATGGCCGCATCACTGATTCACAGTTTCCTGTGAATAGATAGACTACAAGCACCATCAGCTATTGTGGCTGACTGCTTGTAGTTCTCAATGAACTGTGGGGTTGCTGGTGAGCTCTTTCAAACTCCACTGATCTTCCTGCTCTCGGGTAACTGCCTGGCCATATTGGGTACGGACAGACAGCTACCCTGTGAGTCTGCAGGAGTCCGATTGCAACAGAGATCTGCTGATTGCATGTGCAGTGCTCTGCAGGCTTTTTTAGAAAAAAAAATAATGCACTTTTTTACCCACAAAAAAAGGTGAACTTAGCCTTTAAGATCCAGCTAAAGAGAGGGACAGGGAAGGGGTTAATAAGTGAAACGTCACTGCATGCTATTCAACCACTGTTGTGCATCACTCAATACTCACCAAGAAGAGATACTGCAGGCCATATATTATTGAATTTATTGTGAGTACAGGCTTCCAGTCCTCCCTGCAAAGATACAATATAATGATTGTACAGAGAACACGACAGACAATCCCAGCAACTGGATGGTACATCTTCTAAGGACCACCTCAGTAATGGGAACACACACTTCTCTGCCTCCACCTGTCCACAGGAGGATTTGCCCCGTATACAGTATATGTCCTGGAGTGCACTGCTTGTACCTGTGGTGTCATGGTAGTAAAAATGCAGTTGGAGTTGGGAAGGGGGCATTGGAGATCAAAAAATAAGTCTATGTACACCCCAAGAAAGAAAGTCATTTTTTGTTTCTCTTTTTGGTCTTTTAATCTGTCTACTGTGGCTATTTTTTAATTTTTCACACACATTTAATGTGCTTTTTTTTTTTTTTTTACTGCTGGAACTTACTTAACATCCCAAACAATTCTATAGTTTCTAAAAGCATCATATTTTCCCATAAAAACATTTTTCAGGACCAAAAAAAAAAAAATCGACTGAAATGAATTGTAATGCACACAAAACAGAATATTATACCCAATTTGTGGTAAAATACAGAAGGTGAGGTTGGGTCAGAACAGATAATCAACAAGTCAATCCTTAACATTGTGGGCAGCTGTGAAAAGGTGAAAAACTAGTCTTTACAGGTTATCAATTACTTCTCTGCTCTCTGCCTCTTCTAATGTATCAATTAGCAACATTCCCAGCTCTCTGGACTACAGAACACCTTCCCCGTGTCCTGGAAAAGAGAGGTGGAATCTGTGTAGTCATGTAGTAAGGTGACAACACTGCTCCTATACATTATTAGGAATTAACAGTTTTACCCTAAGACAAGCAGTGTGTTACTGGCAGGAACCCCAGATGAAAAAGGGAAAAAAATCCTGAAAAGAAGAAAAACTAATACAGCCACCACATCTAAGGACTAGTGAGCTGCAGCATATTAGATTTTTATCTTCAGATGTCGATATGTTTTCATGAAGCCTGAATGCTGTTGCGGTTCATCCTCTTACCTTAGAATATTTAGGCAGACATTACCCTCTAGATCTATATTTGGATGATATACCATTGTCTCACACTTCACTTTCGGTGGATCATGAGGGTAGCCTTGTCCCACCTGCACAGGAGAGGCAAAGAAAAAGTGTGACTGCATAAAAGTCGAAGCTGCATTTTGCTCACTCATTTATTATCCATTTATTTATTTCAGGTACTTATATATCGCCGTCAGTTTACACAGCACTTTACATATATATTGTACATTCACATCAGTCCCTAACCCTCAAGGGGTGTACAATCTAAGGTCCCTAACTCACATTCATACATACACATACTAGGGCCAATTTAGACAGAAGCCAATTCACCTACCAGCATGTCTTTGGAGTGTGGGAGGAAACCGGAGTACCTGGAAGAAACCCACGCAGGCACAGGGAGAACATGCAAACTCCAGGCAGGAGGTGCCGTGGCTGGGATTCGAACCAACGACCTGAGTGCTGCCAGGCGGAAGTGAAAACCATTTAGCCACTGTGCTGCCCATACTTATAGAGTATGGCTGCTTTCACACTGATCAGTTTTTGTTCTGTTTAAAAAAATATATATATACACGGGAAGAAAAATGCATCCCTTTAAATGGAACACTTCAACCCTAAACAAAAGTTAATCAAAAACTGACCAGTGTGAAAGAACCATTTAAACATGCTCTACACATACGCCAGAAATGCACCAAGCGGGACTTTTAAAAACGCAACCGACTGGTGTGAAGAGTTTCTTGGATTTAAAGGGATGTACATTTTCTTCTGCTTTTTTTTGGATGGGGGTGATACATTGCAGGCCACTTTCAAGAGAGTGTTTTGCAATACAAGGAAAACCATTTCCACCATTGTGTGTGCTGAGACTAAAACCAAAAGCACATCATTCTGATACCTTGAAGAAATATTTTGATCATTAAGTTTCAGAACTCACCTTAAAACTGAAGACAAATTTGCCACCCTTATAAAAGCCCTTTAACAAAAAAAGAAAAAAGAAGGTATGTCAGCAGCATGAACCAACAATGTGAGAACACAGCACATGTACAGGTAATAGGCAGAGAAGAAATGTAAGTTCATTTAAAGCAAAAGCTTTCCTTTTTAGCTTTGGATAGTACATGAATTTATTTTACTTTATTAAAGTGGAGTTCCAGTTGATTATAAAAAAAAAAAAAAAAATAAAAGTCAGCAGCTACAAAAATTGTAGCTGCTGACTTTTAAAATACAGACACTTACCTGTCCCACAATCCAGTGCTGTCCTCACCATGGCAGGTTTCACCATCCGTCTTCTCTCTCCAGCATCTTCAGTGTGGGCACCCGGCTGCGACAGCTTGCGGCTTCACAGCCGGGTGCCCACTGCGCATGTGCGAGAAGCGCTGCACTTTGTGAATGGTCCCGTAGTCCTCAGACCTGTTATGTGTCCGAGAAGACTACGGGGAGGGAGGAGGACAACTTCCTTGCAATCGCAGCGGAAGTGAGAGCGGGTACCTGTCAAATTCGGGTACCCACTCCACCCCTGCTCCCCAAAAGGTGCCGATCCTTAACAGGGAGCGGAGGACAATGCATTAAATCAACAACTTCCCCTTTTGAGTGGAGTTCTGCTTTAGGGTACATTCACACTTTTAGGGCCGGTGCGAACTGTAGTGGCAGTTCCTTCTGCAGCTGTCAGCAGTTCCAAGTGGGTGGGTGCGGCAATGCGTGTATGCGTCTAGCAGCAATCATCGCAGGTAATCGCTGGCTGTGCAGAGAGTGTTGAATAGCTGAAGCTGTTGGTGACCTGTCATTATAGTGAACGGGGCCAGAAGCTGCACCTATCCACTGAGAACCACTGACAGCCGCAGGAGGAACTGCCACTACAATTGGCACCGGCCCTAATTGCAAGTGTGAATGTAGCATTATTATTTAATTACAGATATTTATAGAACAATGACAATTCACGCAGTGCTTTACACACTGGAGGAGAAGAAATGTAATCTCCAAATACGGAAAGGTTTCTTCACAGTGAGAGCTGTGGAAATGTGGAATAGACTCCCTCAAGAGTTGGTTCTGGCCAGCTCAGTGGATTGCTTTAAAAAAGTCCTGGATTCTTTCCTAGATACACAGAATATAACTGGATACTAACATTTATAGGTAAAGTTGATCCAGGGAATATCCGATTGCCTCTCGGGGGATCAGGAAGGATTTTGTTTCCCTGCAGGAGCAAATTGGATCATGCTTTGCTGGTTTTTTTTTTTTTGCCTTCATCTGGATCAACTGTGGGTATAGGATTATAACTTTTTTTTTTTTTTTAATGGTTGAACTGGATGGACTTTTGTCTTTTTTCATCCAAACTATGTAACACTGTACTTTCACATCAGTCCCTGACATCAAGAAGCTTATAATTTAAGGTCTTTATCTCACAAATACACACAAAATTTGCTAAAAGGTAATTTAGTCAAATCCCTCTTCTACTGAACTGTATTGTTGCTGTATTGACTCCCACTATAATGTAAAGCACTGAGCAAACCGTATATAAATCCTGTATAATAATAATAGTCAGGAGCCAATTAATCTACCAGCATGTCTCTGGGGGTGTGGGAGGATACTGAAGTAACTCATGCAAGTACAGGGAGAACATGCAAACTCCATGCAGGTAGTCTCTAATTGGGATTCAAATTGATGATCCTAGTACTGCAAGGCAGAGGGGCTGACCACCAAGTCACTATGCTTAGTCGCCCTCCTTACCCGTTTTGCTGGGTTGTTCTTGATTCAAAATACTTCCCTGCAAAATGAATCCAGCATCGCCTAGCTGTGATCCGCTGCTCAGGTGCCACACTCCAGGTCCTGCGCTGCCATCTTGATTCTCCTCATTGGAAACCGCCTACCTCTTCCAGGTTCAGGCCGTTGGCTCCTGATGACATGTGCCTCCTCCACTCATTGGCAGCTGAACTGTCCATGCTCCTGTAGCTTGCTGGGATATGTGAAGGGTTGTCCCGGCTGGCTGAGGGAGCAAGGACACATCATTTTCTGCCAGGCGAGAATGGTGGAGTCGGCAAAACAAACAAACAAAAAAAAAAAGTTACAAACCTTAAAAATTCCACTTTAAAGCTGGCCATAGCTGGATCTAAAAATCGATTCACTTATGGCTGCTCCCTCTCTAATGATCGGCTTCTCTCGGACAGGAATGTTGGAAAATTTCCATTCAATCAGGGCAGGCAAACAGTCGGCTGCAGCACTGACCAGTGTACTCTGACAGTGGAGGAGTCCCCGCTGTCTAAATTTAACACAGCTGGGAGGATTCCTCCATCCACCTCACTTGTGTGAAATGGGGAATCCATTTTTTTTTTTTTATCATCAGCCCTCTGCTCGACTAAAAATGTGGTTGTGCCGTGATTTTACCCTCCTCCCCCTTATGCTGCAACAGGCAGAGGACAGGGGTGTTTCCATGTCAAGGTTGCAATGCTTGGGGTAAACCAATAAATTGAGGAGTCATTCATTCCTCAGCAGTGTCTTGGCAACAGCTGCAAATCTGGCCACAGATGGATTTTTTTTTTTTTTTTATAAAAAAAAAATTAAAAAAAAATTCCCCATCCATAAAATTCAAGGTGAATGGAGGAATCCTCCCCACTGCACTATAGTGTTCTGACAGCAGGGGGGATTTCGGGAGAATTGCATCCCCCTAGCTTTACTGCAAGAAAGCATTTTTTCCCCCAGGAGATGGGCTTTAACCCCTTCACCACCTCCATCACCTCTCCAAAACTTACCTCTATACTGTGTCTCCATGTCATCTTTAGGTTAACCCTTCAGCTCCCTTATCCTCCACATTAGTACATTAATGACTTGTATGTGCTGTATGTAGTGATCCATGTTTTAAATCAGCAAGACTTTTAATTGCCAAAAGATAGTGGAAAAAAATGAGATCCCCCTGGGATCACTACATTATAAAAATGGTAATTTGGGAGGGTTTTCATACTGTCCTAGGATTTTATCAGAAAGTAAAGGAAACAGGTTTTTCCCCAAAAAATGTTTATGCTATTTCTTTCTATAGTGAAAAAAAAAAAAAAAAATGCAGTGGGTTTTAACCATTAGCCGCCCAACCAATAGCCGTTTGGCGGCCAGAAAAATGCTTTAGATTACCGGGTGGACGCCATATGGCATACTCGCGGGCATGAGCAGTTTGCGCACTTGCAGAGCCGCGCAGCGGCGCAATCTGTCACCGGCCGTGTACCTCGTACACGGCCGATGACAGTTCTGAGTACAGGCCCCCGTTGCCAGTACCATGTGACCTGCTGTGACCAATCACAGCAGGTCACATGACAGTTGTATACAATGGATGGCTTTATTCATGCCATCCATTGTATACTAGTGTCTAGCTGTGAATGGTCACAGCGATCACATGCACATGGCATGTGATTAGCTGTGGCCAAATCACAGCTAAGCACAAAAAAAAAAAAAAAAAAAAAAAAAAAAAACCCTGAATGAATCGATGTCATTCAGGTAAATGCTTGCTTATAGCAAAGTAATTCTTTGCTATAAGCAAATTGTGTAAAAAAAAAAAAAATAACTTCCCCAAAGTAGTACAATGTTACTATGGTAACATTGTACTACTTTGGTCATAGTGAAATATGAAAAAAAAAAAAAAATCTTAAAAAGAAAAAAAAATGTAATTAAAAAAAAACTAATATATATATATATATATATATATATATATATATATATATATATATATATATATTTTTTTTTTTTTTTTTTTTTTTTTTATACTGTCACCAGTCAGTGTCCCTGATCACCGCCATGCCAGTTATATGATGATTCTGTACTGCACTGGTGACAGTATGTAAAAAGAAAAATAGTGAAAATAATTTTTTTAATTTTTTCATTTTCTGAAAAAAAAAAAAAAATACAACTTCAAAAAACTTGCCATTCCTCTTCTGAAGTACGCCGGACTGTCTACTTTACAAAAAGGGGTCATTTGGGGGATATCTGTACTGTTCTGACATTCTTGGACCTGAAGAAATTAGATTGGCTGTCAGTACTTCAGGATTGATCAATATTCAGATCTATACCATAGTTTGTGAACTCTATAACTTTCCTACAAACTAAAAAATACATCCTAATTTGGGTTATTTTCACCAAAGACATGTAGTAGAATACATCTCGGCCTAAATTTATGAAGAACAATTATTTATTTGCAAACTTTTATAACAGAAACAAAGAAAAACGTGTTTTCTTTTTTTTTTTTTTTTAAATTTTCGGTCTTTTTTTGTTAATTTAGCAAAAAATAAAAACCCCAGCGCTGATTAAATACCACCAAAAGAAAGCTCTAGTTGTGTGAAGAAAATGATAATATTTTGTATGACCGCGCAATTGTCATTCAAAGTGTGAGAGCGCTGAAACCTGAAAAATGGCCTGGGCAGGAAGGGGGTAAAAGTGCCCGGTATGGAAGAGGTTAAATACATTGAAAGAAAATGATCTAAAAAAAAATGTAATAAAATTAATTTGGGTATAGTGCTGCATGCCAGAGTAATGGTCAGTCAAACAATCACAGAACTGAAAACTAATGTCCTGGTAATGAAGTAGTATTACAGGCTGGTACTCAAGTGGTTAAAGAGGTTGTAAAGGCTGAAGGTTTTTGTACCTTCATGTATTCTATGCATGAAGGTAAAAAACCTTGTGTGCAGCAGTGCCCCCAGCCCCCTCAATACTTACCTGAGCCCCATCACGATCCAGTGATGTGAATGATAGCCTCGGCTGTCCTGGGTCTCTGCCTCCTCATTGGCAGAGACAGCAAACAAGAGCCATTCACTCCAGCTGCTGTCAATCACAGCCAGTGAGGTGGTGCCAAGCCACAGCTCCCTATGAGAATGGACACACAGAGCAGCGGGTGCCCCCATAGCAAGCTGCTTGCTGTGGGGGCACCCGACAGGAGGGAGGAGCCAGGAGAGCTTGCGGAGGACCCGAGAAGAGGAGGATCCGGGCTTTTCTGTGCAAAACCAC